TTACGGTGGCCAATTTACCATTTCAACTTTGTTGATATATCTAAATTATTTCATTTCTCCCACCGACGCAGCCCCAAACAGTTTCTTTCGAAACTATCAGCCTTTATTGATTTGTATTGGAAAATGCTGACCAATCAATAACAACCAATCACAATACCTGGATTTACCTCATAAGGAAATCACTTTGTATGGCAAAACACACTTTAACAATCTTATGTGTGAGCTGACCATGATTTGTCAGCAGCTATGTACAGATAATGAAGTTGGCTCTTGGCTAGGGTGGAGAAAATTAATGGAGTGATAATGATAATTTTTATCCTGGGCTTGTGCTGTCAAGGGAAGTGTTGTTCCATGTTACAAACTTTTTACTTGCTTTCAAGAGTCTGGCACTGACAACTGCCAATTCTGTTGAGCAGAATCCTTTTATTGTGGTTTACATGTCAGTGTTGTTCATCAGTGACCAGAATATGCACTTAATGTTTCTTTTCTGTATTTTTCTCTTTCAGGTATCTACGATGATGACGCAGAGATTATCACATTAAGCCATTCAGATTTCGGTAAGTTTAATAATACTAAACCATGATTGCCTTACCATAATTTTGTCCAACAGGTAGACAAAGAGTCTTTTTTCAGGCAGAGATTGCTTGTTCTGACTATGCTCTGTCATTTTCTAGTAAATATCTTTAGGTGATGCATCTGTAACTTATGTTTAATACCCACAGGTTTCCCTGACAGTCAGCTGGCACTCATAGTTAAGCCTTGTAGGAAGATTTTACACTTTTGCTTGAAAGTTTTGACTGTATGAGTGTAATGTGTGTGTTCTCTATTAGACAAGAACACATCAAAGCAGCCCTAATCAAGGCTCAAAATCAAATTGCTGAATCCAGAACCCAGGACCCAAAACATAAAATCACAGTAGATATAATATGCTTTATTTTAGCAGTACTTGTCTAATTATTATTTCATTTGTATTGCTCAGAGGTGTCAGTAGAAGGAAGTGAAGACATATGGTTTATCAACTTTTATTCACCTTTCTGTTCACATTGCCATGATTTAGCACCAACAGTAAGTTGTCCAATTGTAGTGTGACTGCTTAATTAAAGTCAGCATGATGTGTTGACTGTATACCTGCTTGTTCTATAATTACTTTCAAAATCAGCAAATTTGTTACTGCTTTGACAGGAGGTTGTCTATGCTTTTAAATATTGCTTTTCCAGTCTGTGTACAAACCTTGTGGGAAGGAGATCACTTTCCAATAAAGACCTGGGCCCAGTTGTATAAGGGGTGGACAACACCATGCAACAGATAAATCGCTATCCTGTGGAGAAGTGATATAGCAAAACATACTGTGCTACCCACTGCACAAAGATTTATCTGGTGGATAGCGTTATTCAAGTTTCAAACAACAGGGGCCTGATGTGTGTGGGAATATTTGTAAGGACAATTACAATTCCTACAGTTTGATGTAATTGTTCGAAATTTCTTTTCATAGTGGAGAGAAGTTGCTCGGGAACTTGAAGGAGTGATCAGATTTGGTGCTGTCAACTGCCAAGAAGAATGGAATTTGTGTCGACATCAAGGGATCCCAAGCTACCCCTCCCTTGTGCTTTATCCTACAGTGAGTCCATACAGTTCTTGTTATTTTTAAAAACAGTTGTTTTTCAAAATTTACTAGTATGTTGTCTGTTCTTGGCGAAAGTATTTGTTAATTGTTTAATGTCTTTTTTACCTTTTCATGCAGTATGAATTCCATCGTGGTCCAAGAAACACAGAAGCCCTTGTTAAGTTCATACTAGACAATCTGGAAGTTAACCTGTTTGATTTATGGGAAGGTGTGTACCTCTTAATCATTTTGTTACTGTGAGATCAGAGAGTTCATTCTTTCACTTTGACCGGACATTTAGGATTTTTTTCAAGGCAAGAGCATTTCTGATTTCTGTTGCAATCGCAGGTAACTTTGAGAAGCAGATAAACAAAGGCGATGAACCTTGGTTAATTGACTTTTGTGTCGTTGGAGGAGGTGAGAATTCTTGTTCTTTTAAGATTGAAGTAAATTTGCGAAGTTTCTGAAATCACTATGTTTGTGTTTGTTTTCTAAATAGGATTAATTATGAATAATTTTCTTGTGGAACTTGCTTTTTAATTTATGTTTCACACAGACTGCCTTGATTCAGATACAAGAATTAAGCTTTCTGCTATTCTGGTAAGAACTCATTTTAGTTCTTAAATTTGCAACAGTTATAATCAGAAGCACATAACCTACGTTACCCCACATGCTTCTGTGGTGACAAAATCAAATGTCACCTGGGTATCTTAACAAATATTGGTAGAGAGCCAGAATGCACTATTAGAGACTAAGTGTGGGTTCAAGCCCTTGATTAAGAATGTATTCAATGTCCTTAAAATATTGAGGAGTTTGAATGTGCTGCATGTATCTTTAGTTGCAACCTGTAATCAGTCAGATAGTTAGCCCTGTGACTCAAAGGATCTAATAGTTAATTCTCCCCTCTTGCTGCTACACATCTCATCACAAATTAGTTACGAGAATTTGATGTAGATCAAGATAACAACTTGTGCCTGATAAGTTCAAATATTTTCATTACCTGTTTTCTGGATAATGTATGGATAAAGGGAGAAGTTACATGTTAATCACTCTTAGGAGTTTAAAGTTAATTATGGGGTTAGGGTTAAACTTCAGAGCCAAGGTCCTGCATCTTGA